AAGCCAAACGCTGTAGGGTTGTACTTCATAAAAGCTGCAATATCCCCGAGAAATCGGGGGTAGTGCACAGAGTAGCGATCGCGGCAGCGAAAGAGGACATGCTGGCGGGACTGCAAGGCAGCCCCGCAAGTGCAGCCGTGAGGCTCATTGATCTTGAAGCAACGGTAATACGCTCCAATGGGCGCATGGCCAGTTATACACCGGCAAACGCGAGTGAACTCAGTGATGCTGTGTCCGAAAGTTGAGAGCCAAGGTCCCCCATTGAGGTACGATGGCTGTAGTGGTCGCCCGTCAGGCTGTTGAAGCTCTAAGAATTCAGAGCCTTGGTAGGTTGGATCCTGGAAAGTGGAGTTCCATGAATCCAGGACTGAGTGCGCCGCTCGTGAGCGTAGCGTGTCTATAGAGTTGTCCGTCTTGCGGCGTCCAACCCTGACTTTAAGCTCGGTGACATACTTGTGTGCCTCACCATGAATGTCCCACCACAGAGCTGATGGGACGTAGACAAAGGTAATGCGGTGGAGATCATCCTCCTCAAACCACTCTTCAAGAGCGCGACAGACTGACAGGCTAAAAGCCTGACCAGAGTGCACGCCGGGGTCAACCGCTCTATGGGCCGAGCCCATAGAGTCAGTAAAGACCATGATATGTTGGCAGTTTGCCTGCTTGACAGCAAGGCGCACTGCACACGAAATGGCATTGAGCTCCGCATCTGGGGTGGTAACTCTGCCAGAGACATAACGAGTCCTTTCAAGCTCGTGATGTCCCTTGTAGATGATGGCTGCTGAAGCTGCCTGATACTGGTTGGACTGAGGGACAGAACATCAGTTGCAGCCAGTACTGTTAAAGGGTTGGCCCTCGCTTTCACGATGAGCTTGTCTAGATATGGTCACCTATCCTGGGCAGGATTGTGCTCGTCAAAGTGGAGACGGTCTGCATAGCGGTCCAGTAACCGATCGCCTGGGCGAGCTTCAGGCGCAAAGGGCTCAAAGCTCTCAGTTAAGGTGTGGACACGCTCCTCCACCTCCATGACAGTGCTCTTGACTTTCCCTTGCATGGCTGGGGTCATCAAGGCGGCAGAGCGAGCGTGTGGTGCAGCTCGCTTGAGGAGTCCCTCGCCCAACATGGAGCGAAGAGGGTGGGTGTCCGAGAGGGTGGCTACGCGATACACTGCACGCGTTGCCAGCTTCTTCAGCATAAGGTGGACAGGGATGAGACCCGCTAGAGCCTCAAGACCGCCCGTGGGGGAGGTGCAGAAAGCACCTGTAATCCATAGAGCAGCTTTCTGCTGCATCCGTTTCAACTGGTTCATCCCGCCCTTGTTGCGAGCGCCATCAAAATACCAGAGACGATAGCCGTATGTGGCAATGGGGACCACACACGACCTGTATAAGAGGCGGCGCTGTTTAGGCGAAAGACCTCTAGTAGAGTTTCCGCGCATGCGCATGGCCTGCACAGTGGTAAACGCCTTGGTGGCGTAGTAGCAGACGTGCTCCTGAAACGTGAGCCCGCGGTCAAAATAGAAGCCCAGGTACCTCCAATAGGTCTTGGGCTTCAAAGGTGTAGCGCTGGTATGAGGGGCATACCCCAGATCCAGTGAGGGATTGTAGGCATCTCGTCGACGCGAAAAGTGAAACAACTCTGTCTTGTTGTGTTCAAGAACGAGCGCGAAAGCAACAAAGAGCAGGTAGATAATTTTGTAGGCCTTACGCAGGCCTACATTATTATCATCAAGTTGTTTGGACTGGGCAAGAATGGTCCCATCATCCACAAAGGAGAGCAGCGTCATGCTGAGTGTCGCTGCTTTGATGTAGAAGAGCTTCATTACCGGAGCAATGAACAGCCCTGAAATAACAGGCGAGAGAGCTGAGCCCTGCCCGTCAGGGTTGGACATCGTAAGACGGACAACTCTATAGACGCGCTTCGCTCTCAAGCTGCGCACTCAGTCCTGGATTCGTGGAATTCCACTTTCCAGGATCCAACTTACCGAGGCTCTGAATTCTTAGAGCTTCAACAGCCTGACGGGCGGCTGCTACAGCCATCGTACCTCAATGGGGGACCTTGGCTTTCAACCTTCGGACACAGTATTACTGAGTTCGCCCGCGTTTGCTGGTGTATAACTGGCCACGCGCCCATTGGAGCGTATTACCATTGCTTCAAGATCAATGAGCCTCACAGCTGCACTTGCGGGGCTGCTCTGCAGTCTCGCCAGCATATTCTCTTTCGCTGTCACGATCGCTACTCCGTGCATTACCCCCGCTTTCTTGGGGATATTGCATCTTTTATGAAGTACAACCCTACGGTGTTTGGCTTCAACCGGGACCCGTCGGGTGTCGGATAATCGTTGTGGGCGGGGTTGTTCCTCCTTTCGGGGGATTTATGGTGAATTGACACCACCGAGCTCTAGGGTTTGAAGACCTGCGCCTACCGCTATTTCTTCGCGCTTGCGGCCGCTATTGTAGCGGATTGCGGCGCCGCTAACTCTCTGCGTCTGGTTTCGGGCAGGCGCTTCTCTGGCTTGTCGGCCTCAAGACACCCTGCCACCTCCCAGGTGGTGCTTTTCTTATCTCATTTGCGCTGCGTGGCCTCCGAACAGCGTCCGACGGCTTTGGGGTTTAGCGGGGCCTCGATGGTCTCTTCCCCTTATTCCACGTCACCGTTTTCGCAAGGTGGGTCTGGCTTTATGGGAGTTTAGGCGTTTGAGCCATAAGGCTCGTGGTTGGGGGGGCGGACGTCTTTTAGTAGTTTACCTAGTACCCAGGCCGCGTAGTGTACGTGTTTGTAGATAGCAAGTGGGCTGCCATCGAGCACCGCTATATAAATTGTTGATCAAAAAAAAAAAAAAAAAAAGTGCAAGAGGACTTCTGGTATGTAGATTCTTTCTGACTCTGTCATGAATTTCTTCAAATCCAGCTCTGCCACGTATAACTTCTGAAAATCCATTTGAAAGCTGCTGGCCATAGGGAAGATATTTTGATAGATGGAATGACCACTTTGTTGGACCTCCAGACCAGAGGTAAAAGAGAATAGTGAAGAGAGAATCATATGAGCAGCTATAGTCTACAGAGTCCCATTTCAAGCCAAGAGGCATTTCCTGAGACTTATTCTTTGTTTTCTGCCGTTTAGCTGGTTTAGTATCATTGTCAGAATTCAATTTCCGCTTCACGGTCTGTTTTGCTGCAGTAATAGGATTGGATCCTTGAGCAGGAATGTAGTTAGCAAGCATTTGTTTAGAGTCTTTACTGGCCTTGATAGCAGTAGTCCATTTTGCATCATTGACAGGCTCAATTACCATCATTGTATCAGAGGAGGACCATCGTAGAGCAGAATCAACCTTAATAGGACAGTAGTTTTGTCCCTTCAACTCTCTGTACTGCTTGAGAAGAATTTTACAGACAGATCCATTGATTTCTTTTGGGAGCTTTCCTAGAAATCTCTGCAGAGTAATCTCATCTAGTAGTTCATGCTCTCGAAATTCCTGTCTTAGATGGCCTGATGCTCCAGCCTTAATGCACTCAGCATCAAATCCCTGAATAATTATTGTACCATCTGCAGTAGACCCTCTAGAAAGCGCTGTATAATATGCCATATGGTTACAACAGCTGTTTAGATTAACAACATTGAATTTTTGGGTCTTTCCTTGAGATGAGTAGTCTGTCATTGCAAAATTGGGCAATATTGAAACCTGTGAATGATTAATTGTCAATGGCATTTTCAAACCTTTGCATTCAACACTTCCAGATAATCTTGTAAGTGGCACTACATTCTCAGGCAATCCTTCCAGCTGAATAGTATGGGCTGGATTGTCCAGGCAAACAAACAAGGTATCCAAAATCTGCTGGCCACTAGGCCCTACACCAGACTGCCAGCCTGCTACAAAACCTTCTTGGCCTTTGGTGATGCACAGCTTGGTAGCATTGTTGTTGCGAATAATCACAGGCATGCCTAGACACAGCGATAGCTTACCAGCAACACCTTCAGTAGCAGAATGTCTTAAATTCCAAATTACATCTTGGAGTCTATCTGGAATGGA